TACATACTATTGTCCTCTCTGCAGAACAGCTTTAAGCACAGCAAGATGGCCCTAAGACTCTTAGCGTCACTCAGCTTGCAGCGGTTGTGCAGGAGTAAGCTCCAAAAAGGAGCAAAGTCATGGCCATAATGCTGCTGTATTTGTGAAAATGCTGCATTGGAAAATGCTCAGGCCTTACTCTTAAGCATTTTTCTGGAAGGAGGTTTGATTCGGATCTGACCTGACAGGACTCCAGAGCGTGTTTGTAGATGGCACTACTCCCTCCTCAGGTTGCCAGTCTGGTATTTAACCTTCCCAGAGTCACTCAGGTGCTCCGGCAGAGATAAGCATAATCTGTGATGACATCTAGGCTATGTGGGAAGATGCCTCTTCTGGTCTGTTATTCAAAATACCTGCTAGGAGCCTAGCTTCACAGAATCACAGGATGTCAGGGGTTGGAAGGGACCTCAAAAGATCATCTAGTCCAGCCCCCCTGCCAGAGCAGGATCACCTACAGTAGGTCACACAGGAACGTGTCCAGGCGAGTTTTGAATGTCTCCAGAGAAGGAGACTCCACAACCTCCCTGGGCATCCTGTGCCAGTGCTCTGTCACCCTCACAGGGAAGAAGTTTTTCCTAATATTTTTGTGGAACCTCCCATGTTCCAGCTTGTACCCATTGCTCGTTGTCCTGTCACTGGACATCACTGAGAAGAGCCTGGCTTCCTCCTCCTGACACTCCCCCTTGACATATTTATAAACATGAATGAGGTCACCCCTCAGCCTCCTCTTCTCCAAACTAAACAGACTCAGCTCCTTCAGCCTTTCCTCATAAGGGAGATGTTCAGCTGCTTGAATATGCATCTACAGTGCATTTGTGGCTAAAGCCGTACTCAGACTGGCAGAACTAAACTGAACTGCCACCCTCAGGAAAACTTTATTAGAACAATTTCACATTAAGCAGTTGACGTAACTGTATCTTAAATACACCGGCTTTCTAGAAACAGTCAAGCACTTATCCTTAACTAACCCATTCAGCTTTTTTAAAAAAAATAATTCTGGAAACACTGAAGACACAGATTCCTTGAAATCATTGCACTAGAGCAGCTCTTCACCCTACTATTGATTTTCTTTGAGAATGCCATTTCAGATCAAAGCATTGAAGATATCTTGCCTTGAAAATCAAATAATTAGGAGATCTACTTGGTATGGGTGCTAGCCCTTTGAGCAAAACCAGACCACTGTGGGTTTTTTAGTGTCACCTGTAACATTAACAGTCTTGACTTTGACCTTGCCTGCATGTATTGGAGAGCACTAAGCAGTTCTCTTGTCCTCTTTTTCTCTGGCACATAATAAATGCACCAAAGGGGACAGTTTGGGTCTTTTTCATAAGCTTAATGGACAGTTTCCAAAGTAAAAATTGACTGGTCAGTAGGGGAGCAGGAGAAAAAGAAGGGTATTTTTGCACATATTATCATATTTTGGGTTGCAAAACAAAGTATGTTGTACTGACTTTCATCCTGAAAGGTATGCAGGCTTAAATATGTCACTGGGTCACCAATGTCATATTCCTCAACCTAGCCAGATCACGCCTTCCAAACAGCTGCCAGAGCACCAAAACATACTTTTTCGTCTAGGGGTTCATTTTCCTTCAAATTGCTTTGTTTATTTTTAGTTCTACTCTTCCTGGCTGGCTTCGGAACATTTGCTTTCTCATACATAAAAAAAAAAAAATCCATTACACACTGAACATCCCATTTCACTTGAGAAGGACACAAAGAACAACATGAATTTTGCAAAATTACTGGCTTTGCCAGCTTCCAAAATAAATGTATGCTGAGCTTATTTGCTTTTTTTAAGTCCATGAAACCGATTCCCATCATACAATTTCCAGATAGAGGATTTTGAGGCAATATCGAACGTGCATTATGCGGCAGGGTGTAGACCAAACCTTTAGGACTGTTCTTTTTCACTAGGTGGAGATGATACAAAGATAATCATTAATGGTGTTTTGATATGGAGCCACAGGGCCAGTCCTGTCGCATTCATTGGTTCACACCGCGTCATCTTAGCAAAGGCCCTGCAACTGTTTAAACATGCTTAATACTTACTTTGCGCTGATGGAGCAGAAGAGAATCTCTGTCTCTGAAACATCCAAATATTTTAAAATAAAACTGCGAAGTATCAGTTTTCAGTTTTCAGCACATAAGAATTTCCTGCTCCTCTTACTCTTGTTCTTCAAGTCTTTTTTTTTGTGTCAAGGAAACTAAGTAAAGTTAACCAACTTTACACAGATATGAATCGCAGAAGTGACATTGCTGTCACTAAGAGAAATCCCTTGAATAGGAGAGAATGCCTCCAGCAAAGCTTTGGAGGGAAGATAAGAAACAAGCAAAACACAACATGCATTTTCAAAATTCATTCCAACATGAGAGGCATGTAAAAAATAATAATGCGTACATTTCAACCGTTCCTTTGCTCAAGATCCCAGCAAAAACCTATGCTCACAAGAGAAATGGAGCCATGAAGTTTATGTTACCACTCCTCGCCAGAGGTTACACAAACTTGCATCTTCAAAGCTTAGTCAAAACTGCTTTGAAAAGCCCATTTATCTCCAGTCACTGAATTTTGCTTGGAAATAGCTGAGCGCGTACACTCCGCTCCATCAGTTACTCTAACGGTCCCTACTGACGACATACTGTAGTAGAATCTTAAGTAGTAGCAGCTAGATTTGTCTACAGTTAACCTAACGTCTCGTCAAGGTTCTCCCATGCTCTTGGATCTTACATAAACGGAGACTGAATTAGCTGAACTACATTTTCACTAATTTCCCAGCATTATCACAGGCAAATAACAGCCCTACTGACATTTTTATGCCGCTGTCAAAAGTCAGGAGAATGTTTTGCTGTTTTGGAACCATTAGTGACCCTGGCTGACCTACAAACTTCTTTCAGACCCACGGCTGGTCTTCGCAGGAGCCTGATTGTCCAGCTGTTTACAAAAATAGGTAACACCTTCCTCACAGTCAGCTTTTCTACTATTGTGTCAAATGCTCCAGGAACTACATCTTCTACCTAGGCCATTTGCTGTGGTAATTATTTCTTTAACACAGGTGTGGTCCCGTGCACGTGAAGCAATATTAGTATTTGATTTTCTCTGCAAATTCAAAATTTAGAAACTAAATCAACAGTGATTGTACACAACCTGAAGTCAAGAAGCTTACACAATTCTGGGACCAGTAGACACATTAAGTGTTGCACTGAGTGCAAGATCTTGGATATCCATCCTTGTCCATGTTGTTCCTCTTCTGCTTTCAGAAACAGGGAACATGAATCTCTACTGCCCTGGGCAATACACAGTCACATTCTCCTCTGGTTGTTACAGATTCGCTTTAGTGCCAAGTTTCTCTGTCTCTTTCTACACAGCATTCCCAGAAGCCCCGAATATATTTATTAGCATTGTTATACATCCAAAATGAGAGAGACACAGAGGTCTCTTCATAGCCCTGTCTGGCACCAACTTAGCACTGAGCCTTAAACTTACCAGTTTGGGGTGGGGGCTTATTAAATTTTCAAGACTGAGGCCCCTTCAATGCTTAAGGAGCTGCTGTGAACAAGCACAGACAACTGTATCTTGCCTGGGGCAGGCTGGCACCCTCCTGTACCAAAACCAGGACCTTAGACAACCACAAAGCACTCAGTGTCTGTCAGTACTCAGGCTATCCTGTGAAGTCAGCAACAACTGGGACTTTTGTCAAAACAGAGGCAGAGGAAAAAAACAGCTGTGGTTTTCTGGTAACGCAGAGCTGTCTGGCCTCACCCCTAATGCAGGAGGCCGGGGTCTCAGCAGCCCTTCTTTCCACCTGTGGGGCACAGGCACTTGTCAGCTCGGGTCTGGAAGCAGAATCACTGCACTGGAGCGACCAGGCACTGGAGCCAGTAAGCTGTGCTGAGCTCCAGCTGGCTTGGACCCAGAGAACTCAAGTTTCCCTGCGTATCACTTCCCTGCTCTCCAGATTCTGGGGCCAGCACAGGCAGAGGCAGCTCAATCTGTTTGCACACAGCATTTAAGTTGTTTTCCTGTTGCACGAAGCAAAGCAAACAAAGACGAAAGAGGCAGCAGCTGGAATTAGGCAGTTTTGAAAAGATTCCATAACCATGTGTGCATTTCCTGTATCTGGAAATAAGGAGACACTTTTCAAGCATTTTGCACTTGTAAAAGGCTGCTGGGTAAAGGGAAATTCACCCATCCTGCTACTTTAAAAGCTGCCGCTGCAGAGTGGAAGCACAGAGCAGTAAGCAGTTTGCTTAGCAGTCTGCTTACCCACTGCTGCTCTCCTTATGTAGCAACTCTTTCTCCCTACTGCAGGGAGTATTTTAACATGTTAAGAACAATTAGCATTAAGATAAAAAACAATCAAAAGGGGTTGTTGTTTTTTTTTCTCCCACTTTCTGCCTGGAGTAATTTAGAGAAAGCATGATTTCTCTGAGGAAAATAATCACAACCTGAAGCTGCTGTACCATCTTCCGGCTAATGCTGTGTTAAAGCATACAGGGAACTCCTCACCCACTTCCTTCAAAAGTCTAGAGAACAAGAAAATGAAAGCATTTTACACTGCCAGGGGTGAATGCAGTAAATCTATAATTTGTGGCTTTTTGTGCACAACCTGGTCACTCCAAAGGACAGTTATTCTTCAACTGAATCATGCTGCAAAATTATTTCTATCTTGATGCAATGCTTTCTCTGCACAGTTACTAAACCATGTTCCTTACAGGAACTCAGTTTGCTTTCACTTCAGATTGCAAATAAAAAAAGAAACAACTGCAGTAAGAATTACATAAATTTAAGTATGTGCTTTTATTTTATATTTTCATGGCACATTTTGATTTGTAAACATTAAATTACCAGTCACCTTCTTCCTATGTTGAAAACAACCACCAGACATTTGAGAGCATTACCTGAGATTTAAAAAAATAAAAACAGAGAGAGAGAGATCTGGCATCTTTCACGTTACTCACATACAGTACCATTTTAGGAAGAATTACAAAAGGGAATGTTTTACAAAATAGGATAGTTTCCTTTTGACTATAAAGGTATAGAAAATACATCAGAACACCTTAGAATGATCAGCCTTATTCAGAGGACGTTGCAAGTCACTGTCTCAAACAATTCCGTTAATGCATAGCTGAAACACTGCATCAGTCCTGCAGCAGTATGATATCAACATTGTCATGAACACCTTGTAAAAGTAGCTCCCCTTGATAAGTTATAATCTTCCTTCGCTTTGCAGCCTTAAGAGTTCCCACTAGGGCTTCAAAGAGGTTGGCACACTTTTCATCAGCAAAGAGCACGCCAAATTTCACGCTCACTTGTCCATCAGCATCTAAATCAAAATTAAAACAGGAAAACACATGCAGATTTTCTTTCAGTTAGGAGATTACCGAGGAAACAAGGTGACATGCAGACAGAATGCTGAAAGTAAGCCTCATGGTGCTTCCCAATTTACTGGGGAACATACTACCAATGCTGACAGTAAGTAGTATGTAGGCAGGACTCCTGACTGCTAGGACTTCCTCCTTTTTCCAGAGACTCGTATCAAGGATTGCTTATCTGCTATATTTATTTTTACTGATGACTTTATGAAACTTACGACCAGCACAGGCTATTGAACCTCTTCAAAGCATAAGGAGGAAATTAGTTCAAAATAAAATGTTAAAACATTTTTTCAAATATATTTTTCCCACTTATTAATATTTAAGGCTCACATCGAAAAAGCTGCACTGCAAATTCATTTCTCACACAAAGCATAAAGGTTATCTAGGTTATTCCTAAAAGGCAGACACAGGGATACTAAACACAAGACATACACATCTGTTTAGGTTCTGAAAAAAAAGAACTGAACAAAATCACATCAGAACTGAAATACATGAGCAAGTAACACATCCAGAAATTGCATAAATATGAAGGGAGGAGGAGTTTTAACAATGAAAACAATTTTAGGAGATAAGGCTACCTTCTAAGCAAGCTTAAGGAAGGTTGGAACTACACCTATAACTCCTGGATTACATTTAAGCATATAAATCAATTATTTCCAAATAATACTGTGATGAACACAACCGAAGTGTATGAATTCTGAAGTTCAGAAGTTACCGAGGAAAGTAGGTGGAAGGAAAAGGTGCAACTTTCTTCTTTGACAGCTGCAGCAAGTATTGGAAGCCTAAAGAAAAGAGTAATTTTGCAGCCGATTTTAGTGGGAGCAGGACTTCCGGTCTCCATCCCCTGTGCTGCAGAGGCTTAAATGTTTAACCTCGTAACAGAACTACTGTAGAGGATGAGATGCAGGCGGTACCATACAGTCCAACATTAACTATATATGCAAGTTTCCAGGTTACCTGAGCCTGCTTAATTAAATTTGCCAAGTTCAGAGGTTGATAAGTCTACATGTGTACGACATGCATGCCATATACAGACATGTATGTACAACGTGACTAAATCTGTACAGTCAGAGATACTACAATACTTACTTTTGGTTCCCAGCCGCCGAATCTCCTCAACTAAGAGGCTAATTTCATGTTCCACATTCATTGTGATCTAAAAAGAAAAATAAATTTTGGCAAAGTTATTAGGAGACCCGTAAATCCTTTGCACCATTCCTAGCCTGTTCTCGGTTCTTCAGGAATCTCACCGTACTCTGCAAATCCCAGTAGCCTGCAGACACATGGCTACAGGATAACCAGAGGTTTCAGTCTTGAATGGGTAAAGAGCTTCCACGTCTCCACATTCCAGGGGAAATGAACAGAAACTACAACCTTGATACATTCTAGGCACAAAAACAAGGAGCTAACCTCAAAATATGAAAACTGTGGGCAGATTAGTGCGGGGAGGTTGTTTGACTGAGCTTAGGCTGCCACAGAATCGGAGCATTCTGGTAACGTCACATGTCTTCAGGGGCTTTGCCACTTTGCGGTGCCCAAAAAGAGCGCAGCTACCAAGACCAGAATTGAACCAGAGGCAAACCACGCAATCACCCTACGAAGGCCAACATTTAACTTCCATTCATAGGATCCCAAGGAACTGCTACACTGCCAAACTTACCCTGTGCTCCTCTTTGACTTGCAACAGTTTAGCCCTATACAACTTAGTAGGTGGCAACGCTAGTCACACAAAACACTATTCAGTTCAAAGCATCCATAGTTAATAACTGCGGGCACCTGGAAGGTGTTTTGGGATCTATGCTCATGCAAAGCAGCATCAACAGAACGAAACCTTTAGGTGTGAAATTCCTTAAGCAAAAACTGGCACCAAGGTAAGCACAAGAAATCGGGCCTCACAGAAAAAGCAAAGAGTCAAATGCAGCTTCCCCGGCTGGAACAAAAGCAACAGAGAGATTCTGGAGCTGAGCACTGTCCAAAGGGGCTCAGTGAGCACCAAGACCCTCTCTGTTGCTCGAGAAACCAGGGTTTCTGCATAGATCTGGTAAGTACATGGAATTAAAAAAATGACATCTGGACGCACCACTATCTCTTCCTAAGAGAAAAGCTTCCTTTTAATCGAGTTTAAACAGGTAAGAGCGACATATTTCCAGCTGCTGACCCATCATGAGTTATCCAAGAGGCAAAAACCCCTTTGTAGCAGAGTCTCATTTTCAGATCGCAAGTTCACTTGCAAAAAAATCTTTTTAACGTGTCTGACTGCTGTCAGCGTGGGCAAAGCCCCAGCCAGACCACAGCTCCATCCCTAGCATAGGGCAGCAAGGAGCACTGAAGCGCCCATTGACCCGACTGACACGTAACATCACGACAGCGGGCGGCGCCCTGGTGCTGCCGCTGCAAAAATGCCTTAAAAGGGCAGGGCTGCAGAATTTTAATGGCCTTAGGAGAATTGTACAAAATTTTTAGGCTTTGTTTAACTGAGCGCTGCATGAGTTGAGCACAATTTTTGTCTTGGAGCACGGCACGAATTGTTACAGGCTACCAAGGGAAATCTGACCCATTTGCCGAAAAGCTCACGGTCACTTGTCAAACTGCCGATTTTAGTAACTCCTCTTTCAAGGCGTCCTTCTAATTTTACAGACTTTTCTATGGAACTCTCTCGATTCAGGTTAATTTATCGCTCCTCTCCCCGCTCGCACTGTCCATTGAAACAGCAGCATTTTAAAAAACTAATCCTGCGCTTTTACTCAACACTTCCGAGATCACAGAACCCTTAAATGAGGGGCCCGTGGCTGCGTAAAGAGTAAGGGAGAAGGGATTCTAGGTATTTTCAGCACACTTGTATGTTTTACTTTATATCGCGATGTACTCGGCACGCCAACCACTGCTCTCTAACGCTAATTTCAGCTGCCGA